CTTCCTGCAGACATTTTGGGACCAGGCTAGGTAATATTGTCAGTGCATGGTGGAGTGGCTTTGCTGGGTTTTTATTTTTATATCTGCTAGCTTGTCCTACCAGTCTTGATTGGAATATTTGCTTTTTCCTGGATTGCTTTTGAGGTGGGGTATAGTTCAGTGATGGCTAACTTTTTTGCCTTCATGTGCCAAAAGTGGGGGGAGCGCGGAGGGGGTTGTGCTCATGCCCACACCCATAATTCAATGCCCCCCACGCCCCACCCTCCACACATGTACACATGACACACACACACACACCCGTTCCCCATTTTGGGCCTAGCAGGCCTCCCTGAAGCCTTCGGAAGCCGGAAATGGCCCGTTTCCCGACTTCCAGTGGGTCCAGCAGACCCGGTTTTCGGCCTCCCCAGGCACCAGAAGCTTTCCTGGAGCCTAGGGAAGGCGAAAACGGCCTCCCCCGCCCCCTTGGAGGCCCTCTGGAGGTCAAAAATGCCCTCCCAGAGCCTCCACGTGAGCCCTGTACTTACCTGGCATCCAAAACGGGCTGCGTTGAGACTCCTGGGAGGGAAGAGATGGCGTGGGAGGGGCCAGCCGAAAATCAGCTGGGGAGCTGACCTAGGGCAATGGCTCACGTGCCTGCAAATATGGCTCCGGATGCCACCTGTGGCACGTGTGCCATAGGTTCGCCATCACGGTTATAGTTCTTTCTTTAATTGTTCTTCACTCAGATGAATATCAGCCACATGAATTTAACCCAAAAGCTAAAAAGATCACAACACCTCCTGACTAGCGATCATCACTCAGATAAGCAGAGATTAACATCAAGTAGTAAATGATACCCCAGTCAAGGAACTACCACATCAGTAAACCACAACCTAATCAAGGAACCACCAAAAATACTCCTACCAACACTTCCAGTGCAAGCCACGTGCATATAAACAGAGAGTAAAGCCCAGTCCTTTTTAGCATTGGTGATGTTATGCAGTTGGGTAATAAAATGTCTCCAAGAAAACAGCTAAGCTCAGAGAGCACCGCAATATAACCCTGAGCTACAAATATTCTCTTCTATTGGAATCATCCATCCATAATCACAATGTGAGAAGCTTCATCTACTGCTTAATTCTCCTCAAGAAGGCAATTAAAATGAAAAGGGTAAACAGATCTAAATACACCCTTCCTCATCCCATAATTATTAGCCAGATAAATAGAAACCAGCATCAGACAAATAAGAATGATCAAAGAAGGTACAATACCCATTCAAGGCTGGAAGGATGAACCATCAGTGCTCTTTATTCCTCCTGCACTGATGATGTTACCTAGTCTGGTAATAAAATGTCTGTAAGAAGGGGAGTAAGCTCGGGAATCACCCAGAAGCCAGCAGTTCAACCCCTTAGTTACAAATATTCTCCACTGTGGTAAGTAGTATTTTTTCCCCTTATTCCAACCTCATCCAGCTTCAAAAGCAGCTTCAAAAAAAAAAAAAATCTGCTCGTTACTCGTTATCTTGGAGAGAAGGAAAAGGTTTAGCAGCGACTGAAACAGGGATAACTCACTTAGCAACTGACTGCTTAGGAATGGAAATTCTGGTCCCCGTTGTGGTTGTAAGTCGAGGACTACCCCAAGAATAACCAAATGATGTTAAAGGCACTGCAAGTCACTAGAGAAAGTCGTACTTAACATTTCCCTCTTGCTTAAGCCAAGATGGTCCATCCTTTTGTGTGATCCTCCGCTCTCTATAGCAGTGTTTTTTCAATTCTGGCGACTAAGATCTGCGGACTTCAACTCCCAGATTCTAGGAATTGAAGTCCGCAGATCTTAAAGTCACCACGGTTGAGAAACACTGCTCTATAGAAAAAAGACCAAGCATAATTTCTTGGAAGGCCTATTTGGCAAAGATTGTGTCTCAGTAAATGGAGGGAGAAATGAAACACCCACCTCATTGCATAGTATGAAGAAGGCTCTCTTGGATAAAACATATTTATTTCTTCATACCCACGTAAATAAACTGTGGCGTTCATTTGCTCAGGATTTCATGATGGGTACCATCTTGGGTAACTTAAGAAGCGATCGAATAAATTCATGGAAGCTTCATGCTCTAAATGGCTACTAAATATAATGGCTGTCTGTAACCACCTTCAGAGCGGAAATCTCCGTTCTTATTACCGAGAGCCGGTTGCTTGGGAACATGAACAGAAGTCTCAACTGCATTTGTGGGTTGATAATGGTCTTCCTGAAAGCATCCTGTTGCGCTCAGTAGGTACAGAATGTAATCCTAGGTAGACTTAATAGACCAAAAAGACTAAGATCTTACATTTTGGGGTGGAAGGCCTGCATGTTTCTACTTATATAGCTCAATCACAATTCTGTTTTAGGACAATCATACTGGAATCAGAATCATAGGCCTGTGGTGGCGCAGTGGTTAGAAGTCAGTATTGCAGGCTAATTCTGCTGACTGTTAACTGTCAGCAGTTCGATCCTGACCGGCTCAAGGTTGACTCAGCCTTCCATCCTTCTGAGGTGAATTAAGGAGCCAGATTGTTGCGGGCAATATGCTGATTCTGTAAACCACTTAGAGAGGGCTGTAAAGCACTGTGAAGTGGAATATAAGTCTATGTACTATTGCTATTGAAAGGGACCTTGGAGATCTTCTAGTCCAACCCCAACCCATGTCAGGCCAAGTAATCCTATTGTATAATTCAAAAAGAGTAAGTATGATCTAGATAAAAATCTTTTTGGTGTTCTTATAATATTAAAAAAGGGGGGGACTGGAAGTATTCACCAAACAGCGAGAATCCATACATTAAAATTTAACAGGAAATCTGGTCTAGAAAATCAAGGGAGAAACTGGCAGGAAAGGTTGCAAATCATGATCACATGATGTCTCGTTTAATAACTACAGCAAAAAATATGGAACAATTAGCTCACTTAATGACCACGTTGCTTAACAATGAATTATCCAGTTAATGTTGTGATTGTATGTCGAGGGACTGACTACCTGTATCAGACTGAAAATGATGTGGATTGTTTTTACAGGCTCACAATCTAAAAAACAAAATATAAAGAAAACAAGATAGGAAACCATGCTGATAATTCTACTCTGGGTCACATGACTTCAAAAGAGACGGGGGTGGGGATTTAGAATGGAACAGTCAGTAACATTCTAAGCCTTTGCCCAATTTTTTCTCCATAGGGATGCTTGGAGAGTTTTTCAGGATTTTTTTTCCTCTGCAGTCCCTGGGTGGGTTCAGCTTTTTCAAACTCAAGACTCATGCCAACAGAAAACCCATTATAGCAATAAGACTTTATATATAATGCTTTATAGCCCTCTCTAAGCGATTTAGAGTCAGCATATTTCCCCCAACAACCCGAGTCCTCATTTTACCATCTTCGGAAGGATGGAAGGCTGAGTCAACCCTGAGCCGGTCAGGATTGAACTCCTGGCTGTGAGCAGAGTTTACTTGCAATACTGCATTCTATCCACTGTGCCACCCCCGGCTCTTTCAAGAATGGAAAGGACTTCTCTGCGTAGACAGCCCCTCATTGACCAGCCAACCCCAAACTAGGAGAATCTGCTGTTGGAATTGCCACTTCTCCGGAGGGCTGGAAATCTTGTGTTTTTTGGATGGGCTGGATTTATCTACATGGCTAGGACTTTTTTTTAAAAAAAATCACACAATTTCCATTGAAGGGACTCAATGAAGAGTCAGCCCTTGTGCCCCGTGGGGGAGGGGAGCGCCTTGCAGGGTCTTTTATGCATCAGTGGGAATATCAGCCTTCTGGTGATAACTGTGTCTCTTCTTCCAGAAGACTAAGATTGCTGTGCCTGAACTAGGAGGAGGCGGAGAAGGAGGAGGAAGGAAGAGGAGGAGGAGGATTGAGATGTCCAGTCTCCTCTCCCATAACTGTTGAAAACTGGGCAGGGAGGTGCGGCACCCCACGGATGAATTAAATGGTGCAATGGGAGTGTTGATTTCACAGCTGGCCTCCAGCTCTGAAGCCAATTAATGTGCGGAGGAGAGCACAGGATGGAAAACTCTTGTTACGGGTTGAGCACCTTAGCCTGACTTCAGTTGGCCTTACTAACCTTGCAGCTTCTCAGATGGAAGCTCCTGGTGTGAGGCCATCCTTGGGTTCCTTCTGCTTTTTCAGAGTTATCTGCTGAAAGACGGAAGAGGCGAAAGACCTGAGGCCTCCTTCACATCATTTTTTTCCCCCAACACTCTGTGGCGCTAGAAACAATAAAACCTGTAAGGAGTAAGGAACTTGGGTTCTGATCCCTTTTGTTAAGCAATTACATTTATTTATTTATTGAAGCTATTAGATGGATTCTCGGATGGATTCTCCGTGTGCAATATTGTAGCAGATTACATTATCATTTATTACAGTTACATTGATCTTTTTTTCCCAATAACATTTTTGTTTTTATTTTACAACACTCTTGCAAGGCAGGACAACGACCAGCAGAATCCAAGATCCTTAGTTTTCAAGCTCGAAAATGGTCCCCCGACTTTTGCAACCGTTCACAGAGTTAACTCGAATACTGACAATATACTAAGCCATAAATTAACCGACGGGACAGGGTTCACATAGCTTTCCAAGCCTCACCTCCAACCCCCCCCCCCCAAATCCCCGAAGTTAACACTCTCCAAGCCTGGTCGGCTTCACAAACGCAGCCGCCAGGTCTCCATCTGACTTGGCTAATCGTGGAGCGGGAACCCAGCCTGCTCGCATAAATCACCCAGCTATAACCCGGGAGACCCAGAAAGAAGCGCGAACCAGCGGTTAAGGGCTTGAGCGCCCCCCCCCCCCCCCCCCCCCCCCTCCTTTTTTCCCCCCCCTCCCCCCGGAATGGAAACGGCATCGCCCTTTTAAGAGGCCAGGCGATGGAGACAGGGAGGGGGAGGAGGCCCCTTTCTTGGAACAGCCACGAAAAGCCGAGGAGGGGAGGGGAGATCGCGGGGAGGGGAGGGTCCGCCGGAGCCGTCTTCGCTCTTTGGAGGCAGCCCGGAGCCATCGGCGCGGCGCCCAGCCTCCTTCAGTCGGGGTGGCGTCCGCAGGCTCCTCGCTCAGTCTAGCTCGGGGGGCGCTCGACGGCGGCGCGATGGGGCTCCAGCGCTGCTGCGGGCGGCGGCCCCGATCCCCAGACCGCTTCCTCCTCTTCCTCCAGCTCCTCTAACGGCAGGTGCCGCGGCGGGGGCTTCCCCCCCCGAGCCATGTACGCCAAGGGCAAGGGCTCCAGCGTGCCCTCCGACGGACAAGCGCGCGAGAAGTAAGTGCTCCGCTTTTCCCCGGACGACCCCCCACCCCCACCCTGCCGCCTCTTTCTCCCCGGGGGTGGGGGCGACGGGGACGCCTCGGGACCCCCCCCCACCCCTCTGACCTCCCCCGCTTCCAGGCAAACTCCGCTCTTCCCTGCTTAAACTTTGAAGCCGGAGTTGGCCGTGCGCGCGCGCCGCTCCAGCCTGCGACCCCTCCCCTGAAAAGCGCGCCCTCTCCCTCCTTCCCTCCCTCGGATTGGGCGCCGGCGGGCTCCCCTTGGCGCGAGGGAGCCTGCCCCGGGGGTGGGGGGTCAGCGCTGCCGGGGAGCCCCGTCGAGGGGTTGGATGGGTGGGTGGGAAAGTTACGGGAGGGTCTTTCGGAATTTGGGGAGGGGGGGGTCGCCCGAGAACGGAAGAGTTGCTCCTGTTAGAGACGGGGAAGGGGGAGATCGGAGGCGTCCTCCTTCCCCCTCACACGCAGCCTTCATCCTGGGGAGGGAAAGAGAGAGAGAGGTTGGGCAGCCCCGGGCACATTGCGCTCTCGCCCGACGTGCGGCAAGAGGACGCGGGGATTGAAGGCACCCGGCGGGCGGCCTTTGCCTGGAGACCAAACGCAGCCCCCCCACCCCCACCCCACTCCCTACCCGGGGTGGGTGGGGAGTGGGGTGCATCTGAGTGCAGCTTCGCCTCCATCGTCCGTCGCCCCCCCACCCCCGCCCGCTTCCTCCCTGCATCGCTCAGTTGTTTGCTCCAGGCACACGTGGGCGGCTGGTGTGTCTCTTCCTGTCTTCGACAGACCCCCTTCTGTCCCCCCTCCCTTCCCCAAATCTTCCCGCGATCGGAGGGGGGGAGGAGGAGGAGGACCGTGACAAGTGGAGTTTATAGTCTTTGTCGTCTCCCCCCCCCCCGAGAAATGGAACCGCCGTGTCTCTGCTTGTATGCGCTGGAATGAGGACGCTGAATACCTCGGGGTGGGGGGGGTTGGGGTTGACCTCAGTTTTCCTCAGCGCTGATGTTTGCTGGAGCCGAGGAGGTTATGAAATACGTGGGGGCTACTCCAGGCGCTGGGGGGGAGGGATATACGAGAGGTGGGGGGGGGGCTTCTGAAGCAGACCTCAATGGGGAAGGATTAAAACGTGCATATCAAAGTTATTTACAGAGGAGGGGTCCCTACAGTCCAGAGGCTGGTATTGCAAAGCTCTCCCCCCCCCCAAAAAAACCTTTCCATTCTCTGATTTTTGGACTACGCAGGCATGCATAGAGGAAGTCTCTGCAATATCCCCCTTCTGGTTCAGAGGAGATGTGGAACTCAAGGCCACCAGATACAAGCAGGCTGCTTCTAGTCTAGTCACTGAAGCCAAATAGGGCATGTTAAAGGTTTTCCCAAACACAGACAGACCACTTCTATTCTTATGCCCACACATACGGCTCACAGATCTGAGCTGTGCTACCTGTGAATTAGGAACATTGACATCTAAAAACATCTGGAGATACCTGTTGGGAACAAGCTGCCTCAGGATATGGGAGAGCTCACCATTTTGAACTATGGTATTTATTTTCTTCAGGGGCCATTCACAAATTCTAAGACCTGTGCAACAGAAGATTGTCTTTTTATGATAGCTTTGCAAAAGAAGATACCTTGTTTATGGTAGGCAGATGCCATAGTACTACATAATACTACATAAATATGTTTAATAAAGTCCTTGGATGATTTGCTGGGAGGTCTACAGATCTCTTTTTGCCCCTTTCCTGGCCCTTCCCCTTTGGTTTAACAGCTGTTTGGCCAGAAGACATTTGGTCAGGGAATGCTTTTTTTCCACTGTTTCCTCTCCATGCCTCAAAAAGCTTCAGCTAATTAATTCCTTCTTGTTGAGGTGCAGTTTAAAACCACCAAAACAGCAGCAAGAGAGAAAGTTGGCAATTGTGATGGCAGCAGCTGGGCAGGGCCTCTGGAAACATATCACCAATGTGGGGGGTCTAATAAGGTAGACCCATCATACCTGGGCTGTAGAAAGTTGGATGACCACTTGATAGCAAAATATAAAGAATTTTCTGTTTTCTCATTTCTCATGTCCAATGGACATCTGGATTTTTGCATCCCAGATAATGGTAGAACAGGAGCTTTTAAGGAGAGAGGGAGGGAGGGAGAGAGAGAGAGATTGCATAGCAGCTAGTAAGACTGTAATACATCATATTCAGTTGTACAAAGGTGCAGTGGAACACAGTCAGAAATGAAACCCATCTCTGCTGCTCTTTAAAGCAACCACATCTTTTCTCTGAACCATGGAATAGCTGCAGAGGGTACGATCCTAGGGGGGCAATCAGATTGCTTTAGATGGCTACAGATAGGTGCTATGCTTGTATTCCTGCATACTCTGATCAAACATCTTTTCTGAATTATTTCCACTGCACAGCTCTAGTAGCTACGCTAATCAATAAGGGTATGTGTGAGATAGAAATACAGTATTTTCAGAAGGTTTTAAAAAATATTTCCCTCTAGAAAATTCCTATAAGGCAGGCCACTCATCTTTGTTCATGTAATGTGGGGTAGGAAGGCTGAATCTGAGAGCTTGCTTTGGTGAATTCCAAGATCCTGTGTCCTCAACTTAAAACCACGGTTAGGACCAGAATTTCTGTCGTAAAGCAAGGCAGTTGTTAGTTGAGTCGCGCCCAGTTTTACAACCTGTTTTGCCATGTCTGTTAAAAGAATCCCTGCAGACAAGTGAATCACACAGTCATTAAGAAAATCTGGCTTCCCTCGTTGACTTTGCTTGTCAGAAGCTGGCTGGGAAGATTGCAGAGAGCAGTTACCATTGCTATTTGCTGCAACCCTGTAAAATATATGCCAATTGACAAGCACGGGAAAGTTGATCACATGACCCTGGGAATGCTGCGGTGGTTGTAAGCGTGGTCCTAAGGTCGTAAGTCACTTTTTTTTCAGTGCCATTGTAACTTCAAACAGTCGCTAAACAAGTAAATGGTTGTAAGTCAAGGACTACCTGAATTTTGTCTTGGAAGTGAATCTCCAGATATTTGGGTGCCTTTATGAGTTTGCCTTGAAGGGGATGTGAGGCAAGTGGTGCATCTGAACTATGCTTTTGGTTTTGCAAAACTGCTGTCTTGAGAATTCCCCACTTTTGGTAGATCCCACTTTTTCCTAACCTCGTGCCTTTTAATAAGCAACTTAATTTCTATTTAATAGCAATAGCACTTAGATTTATATACCGCTTTACAGCCCTTTCTAAGCAGTTTACAGAAGCAGCATATTGCCCCCAACAAACTGGGTCCTCATTTTAATTTAAGTTATGTTGAATTTGGATTCCCATGCTGACCGAGGTTATGGGTACTAGAAGTCTAGCACTAATGGTAAGCATCAGGTTGGGGAACTCAGTGGCCAGTTTTGCGATAATATCCTTCCCTCTGGAATCTGGTAGACACACACACACACTTTTAGCTTCCGGAAAGCCATAAAGGGCCAGGTCTTCTGGGCATTGTGGCTGGGTATAGTTGAAACCTGAGGATTGCATGGATTGGAGATGGTGGGTCAGGTAGGTCTGGTTTCCTGGTTTTGGCTTTTTTTATTATTGTGAGCAGCCCAGAGCTTTGTTTTATAAGATGGATGGCCGTATAAATCTTTTAATTAAATAAATATATGTGTGCCAGCAGGGGTTAATACAGTAGTGTTTAGTTGGTTGCTAGATCATCTTCCTGTATCTAGATTTTATGGCTCTTTTTGTACGGCTAAACTAATTTTCTTGGCAGAGAAGAGTTTTGCTCAGTAGGTAGAGCACATATTTTTTATCTGCAGGAATTCCAGGTCCAGTCTGTGATATCTCCAGGAACTAATATCTCAGAGAGCGGCTACTGGCAAAACATGGTTCTGAAATGCTGTGCCCTCCAACTGTTTCAGGCAGCTAGTATAAATTTCCACAGTTTGGTTTGAGCACGGAAAGCCCCAACTTCAGAACCATCAGTTCCATTTAAATGGTTCTTGAGTTCAATGGCTGGGAAAAAACCCTGTGCTGAAGGAGAGTCCCTGATTATTTAGATAAAATGTAGGCAAGATGGAGCAGTGAGTTGACTACCGTGTTTCCCCGAAAATAAGACCCTGTCTTAAATTTTTTTGAACCCCGAAATAAGCACTTGGCCTTATTTTGGGGGAGGTCTTATTATTTTGGGGCGCATTGAGCAAGACGGGGCTCCTCTTGTCGTCTTACCTGATTTCCAGCTCTGTCTCCCTAACCCTAACCAGAGGAAATGGTGGGGACCGGCTGTGCATGTGTTTAAATATTTTCAGGGAGGGCTTATTTTCAGGGAGGGCTTATTTTAGTGCATGCGCTCAAAAGCCCAATTGGGCTTATTATCAGGGGATGTCTTATTTTAGGGGAAACAGGATACTATATGTGATACATCTGTGCCATTTATTGTGAATATTGCAGTTTTAAAAATAACAACACTGACTTATTATAAAAGCATTATTCTTTGGATTTATGTTCTGCCTTTTTGCTAGGTGCTCAAGACAGTGCATGTGGGGATTTTCCTATTACCACAAACGTGGGTAGGTTGGGCTGAGAGAGAGAGAGTGACCTGCCTAAGATTCCACTATGAGTTTCCATAGGTGAAAGTGGATTAGAACATGGTATTTCTCAACTTTGGCAGCTTGAAGATATGTGGACTTCAACTCCCAGAATTCATCAGTCATCATGCTGGCTGGGAAGTTCTGGGAATTGAAGTCCACACAGCTGCCAAGGTTGAGATACACTGTTCTGGTCAGTCACGTCAACATCTGCACTACAGATGCTCTTGCATGGAGGATAGCCATAGCAATAGCACTTAGACTTATATACCGCTTCATAGTGCTTTACAGCCCTCTCTAAGCGGTTTACAGTGTCAGCATATTGCCCCCAATAATCTGAGTCCTTATTGTATTGACCTCAGAGGGATGGAAGCCTGAGTCAACCTTGAGCCGGTCAGGATCCAACTGCCATCAGCAGAAGTAGCCTGCAGTACT